CAGGTTCGGCAGTAATTATTCTGCTTCTCCAGGCTTCTTCAGTTGATGACTTTGTAATGCTAATAAATGAGAGCTTTCAAAGATAAGGCCATTACTCTCTGTACAAAATGCAGAAAGTTTTCCTCACGGCAATGTGAAGTTTTGAAACTTTGACCAATATCATCGAGGGAAATTGCAGTAGGAGACTCATTATTACACCTCATCAGCGTTGCATTATCATATGCTGAAGCCCAGAAGGCAAATCTTCTTTCCGTGAAACAGTGTGTACCAAGCATGCTGTTATTCACCTTAAGCATTTCTTTAATTGGCTAATTAAAAGATGAGGTTTTGTAATGTTATTGTCTTTAAAAACCCACAATCAGATTAGACTTTAAATAACAAACCTATAAGAGGAAATGTTAATCTGAAGATGGGAAAAGAATTTGTGTGGAGCTTTGCATGAAATGTCATAATTATCGGTCCTTCGAGTACTATTTTAAAGGGATAGATCACCCAAAAGTGAAAGTTATGTTATCATTTGCTCATGTCATTCCAAAGCTGTGTGACTGTGGAACACACACACACACACACACAAAAGGTTGTTTGTTGTTGTTGGTGGTGGTGGTGGTGGTGGTGTTGTTTTTTGTTTTGCAAAATTTTCGTAAACTATCCTTTACCAAAATTGACAGTTCTTATTTCTCAATGGAATATTGCATTATTTATTTTACATTATTTATCCATGCACATCATTTTTTATTCAAGTGCCATCAGAATTTTTAATAAAATGACTTCCCCCTCCCGCTCTTCTCTGATGTTTTTCAGTGTGAGGGCGGGGCAACCTGTCACTCACATGATACCCACCAATAGCAAACCACGATCCAAAATCAAATCCCACCTTTCATTATATCTTGTTCTATTTTACTCAGATATACATCACAATAGGGAAGAAAGCTTCGCAGCTTCCGTTTCATGGTGACTTTAACTTACTGTATGTGTCTATTTTGTTCACTAACCAGACGTTATTGTTTTACTATTTAAATGTAGCTCTTTCAAGCTTTTATTGTGACAACTTACCTCATATAGTCTAACAATATTCCCCATATTGGGGGCATGTTGTCACTAAAGGTTAACATGTGTTCAGCTGTAGGCCTATCTTTTTACTGTTCTTCCTGAGCAATAATTATCAAAAATAAAGGGAAAAGTATGACAACTAGCCCCAGTCTGTCCTATTTTCTTCCTGATTATTCCTTCTCAAAACATGGGGACAAATTCATCCTTTTTAAACACAGTCCAGTCGAAATCTGGTTACCTCGTGTTTTACTGAACAAAGAGAGAGCCAATCAATCCTAGACGATGCATTTTGCTAGACACTTTTTGTGACACATCAGCCGCCAGTCTGGGAGAAATGATCACTCGTGTTACCCTGAGGGCCACAATAAAAGGGAGGAAAGCTGGCTTTCACTGTCAGACTCTCTGTGCTATTGAAGCACTTTCCTTCTCAGATGAGCGTTCGACACAATTGTACTAGCAAAATATATCTGACCCCCATCTCTCCAGACAGACTCTCTTTCACACACACACACACACACACACTTACCCACCCACGATTTAGAACAGAAAAAGGGACACCAGCGCCCTCTAGAGCAGAAACGCACATCAGTTAAGTGGCATTAATGGTGCATTAACGTCTCCTGCTGGAGGAAATGACACTTACATGGATAACCCTGTAGTTCAGTTTCAGTTCAGTCCCTTAAGATGAAAGAGGGCCAGTATCTCAAGGGGTTTTGCCAGTTTTGTAATGCGTTAATGTGTGTTAATATCAGGATTGTATAAGAGCTTTAATCCCCATGCGGTGTGCAAGAGCACTTCTGTGGCCGCATACATTTCACACCCTCAGTGTTTCATTGTGACTGTAAATCCGGATCAGGGAGGATGTCTCACAGTAACTGGATTACAGAGATCTGGATTACATTTGTCCTCCACATGCTTAGCCTGGGTTTATTATTTGCTTAGTACAAACAGAGGTTCAAGAGGGAAATAGAAGCAACAAGAACCTGGGAGCCATTAATTCATTTCAGACAGATCCCTTGTAAACACCAGCTTAACCGTGGCAGCAAAACATATGGCTTATAAAAGATTGCTAGTGTGAGATCAAATATTACTGTGGAACTTTTGTTTTACTCTTTGCAGCAATTCAAAACTAATCCATACTACTTTATTTGTATAGGCTTGTAAATATGTAACTAAAACTGTATAAAACATACAGTATTGTAAAGTTTGATAAGCACTTTTTCAATTGAACTGTATAGAAAAAAAATCAATGTATGAAAACATATAAAAATACTTAGTTTAAACTAATAATTTATAGTAGTAGAAAAGTCATTTACAAGTAATATACTAAATGAGCGAAGACTTGTATATTTTCTTATATAAGTTATATATTATATATACGATTTTAATTTCTGTTTATAAATTGTTATAGCACATTGGACAATTAAACAAAAAGATTAATAAAGAAATACTTGAAGATGTTTTCAGTATTTTCCTTTAAGTGACTCCTCTTATATTTATAAATTCTACATAATACTTTTCTATTTATTCATTTTGTGTTTATTTAATGTTTTTTTAATTATTCACTCACTCATCTTTTTTTCCCCTCTACTGTTGTGTTTTTACCTGTGTGATGTGTGAATTTTCACTCACTTATCCTTTTTTGCACGTGTGAAGTGTGAATTTACAGACGCCGATGTCTGAACGCATGCGCAGGATTCTGATAAATCTCAGGCGTTACAAGGGTCACTCACAGAAGGACAGTCGTGTACAGATCCTTGACAGAGAGGCCATGGTTCAAAAGAGGCTATGTCATGCTGGAAGAACCACACTTGAACAGGTCGACAAGGCTTGTCAGCTGCTTACATTCACAGCCTAACATCTCTAACCCAGCAGTTTTGCTTCAGTTCACACTCTGCATCCGCTGTGACAGGCAGGATCAATCCTGGGTGGACCCGCGATTCACAACTTCAGTTAAGTGCAGTTAATGTGTGAAATGTCTTCAATTAGGCCTACAAAAAACTGACTCTGAACTGACACCGAGGGTAAACGCTTGGAAAACTTAAAGGGTTAGTTCACCCAAAAATAAAAATTCTGTCATTATTTAGGCTAGGCTATCACTGTCCTCATGCCGTTTCAAACCCGTAAGACTTCAGAACACAAATGAAGATTTTTTTGATGAAATCTGAGAGCTTTCTGTCCCTCCATTGACAGCTACGCAACTACCACTTTGACGCTTCAAAAAGTTCATAAAGAGAGCCTTTAGCTAAGCCACACCCTAGAATGTAGATTGACCAATCACAGCGCAGCCAAGAACGAGCTCCCACAGTGGTCCGACACTTTTTCACAGCGCTCCATTGACTTTAACTCGGCCGGCTATTAGCGTCGTAGTTTTATCAAAAATATGGTTAAACGTTGTGCCTGGGGCATTTGTAACACAGATACGCGTTCCCCAGAGAGGTTGGAGGGGGTGTCCGTTTTTTTCCCTTCCCAAACCGAAGTAAAATCCTGACAAGTGTCGTCTAGCACACGATGCTAATAAATACAACATTATACTCGCGTAGTCCGTTTGCTTTGTAATAACGATTAAGTGAATAGAGACCTACCCAGCTTTGCATGAACAGTGTTGCTCCTTGATATTGTTAGTCCCAGCCTCCGTCTCGATTAGTAGGAAATGCGGTGGTTCATTTTTTGACTGTGACCGGTATGCTTTTGCCTCTATTAGGATGCCTTGTTCCTTGCGTTTCACCTGTATGTCGTGAATATAGCCTTCGAACGTATATTGCAGCCCCTTTTGCCTACTTCTATCGGACACTTTATTTGCTGCTTTAGCCTATAAAAGTTTGATAAAATTTCAGCAGGAAGAGCTGTCACAGCATAAGCCATGTTCATACCAGAGCCCAGATGAAGTTTGTTTGTCGGACGTAGCAACAGTAACTAGGGGGGGCGGGGCTTAGCCAAAGGCGAATTGAGCGGTTTAGTCAAAATTTTCTGAAGAGACTTGATCGCTTTATATGATGAACAGATTGAATTTAGGCTTTTATTCACATATAAACATACATCAACTCACACATCAGTTGTGGTAAACAGAAGCTCAATCATGTTCATTTGACGTGTGAGAACCAATGAGGTTCATTCTCGTGTTACGCAGCACGTTTGAGCTTCAGCAAGAACCTATGACTAAATTAAATCTGTTCATCATATAAAGTGATCGTGTCTCTTCAGAAAATTTTAAGTAAACCGCTCGATTAGTTTTACGATCTCGTAATGAACTTTTTGAAGCATCAAAGCGGTATTTGTGTAGCTGTCAATGGAGGGACAGAAAGCTCAAAGATTTCATCAAACAGATCTTCATTTGTGTTCTGAAGATGAACAAAAGTCTTACGGGTTTAGAACGACATGAGAGTGAGGATTTAATGACAGAATTTTCATTTTTGGGTGAACTAACGTAACACTGCTGGACCAAGTGATATCCCATTAGTGAACCAATTGTTCTTTTGAATGGGATCTTTCAATGAATCAGTTGTACCTGTTCACAAAACCGATATGCATCCAACACAGAAATACCAAGGACCACGCCATGACGTAATTGCGTAACGACGCAAAAAATCGCGCAAATGAGTCGATTCCATTCGCAATCAGCAGGTGTCAGCAGTGTAGAGAGTGATGAACATCGATCGCTTAGATATAGACGTGACCGCGCCTCCACCGTGAGTTTGTGTCAGTTGTCAAGGAAGCGCGTCGATGGTTACCAAATACCGACATGGCGTAACTGTTTCAGCGGCAGCGAACGACGATAAAGTCTTACCTTCGTCTGCTTTAATTTAAAACAATGTCAAGATAGCATACACACGGGTTTGGTCTAGATGAATCAAGTATCAAACTACAGGAAGTTATAAAGTCATAGGTTTTGCGGTTTCTGTCTGTTTTGCTGTCGCACTGGCTGGACAGTTTTCATCTTACTCTCATTAGAGCACCAATATTTTTTACCAAAGCAGATGAATTCTGCTTTTGCCAGCTATGTTTTTGCGCGGTCGTTCCGACGTCAATAGGATGCAGCTTCTGTTGTATGGATGAGAAGTGTGGTGTTGAGACCTGTCATCAGCGTGTCATCCTGATATTCGGGATGCCAGTCCTGGAAGACACATTTTACTACTCGTATCCTTTTCCTTGTCTGAATTACCAGCGTCATTGTAAGGTGATTGTTCTCATAGTTTTACTTGTGGCGTATAAACTACAGTACTTACACAACTGGCTTTATTTATTAATCGTGGCATATAGACACCATAGCTACGTATGAATTCTCTGTGATGCAAAACAGTGTCACGTGATCCTCAGAAATTATTCTAATATGCTGATTTATTATCAATGTTGGAATCAGTTGTGCTGCTTAATATTTTTTTCATAACCTGTGATGCTATTTTCAGGATTCTTTGATGAATAAAATGTTTAAAACGAACAAAATTTATTTAAAATAGCAATATAACAACAAACTAACAACAAAGACTACCTTTCAAAGGTTTGGGGTCAGTACATTTTTTTGAAAGAAATTAATACTTTTATGCAGCAAGGATGTGTTAAATTGATTAACAAAAAGTGATAGTAAAGCTTTATATTGTAAAAAATTCTGTTCTTTTAAACTTGTTATTCTTCAATTAATCCTGAAAAAAAGTATCACAGGTCCCAAAAAAAAATATTAAGCAGCACAACTGGTTTCCAGCATTGATAATAACTGAGTATTAAATCATCAAATTCATATTAGAATGATTTCTGAAGGATGTGTCACTGAAGACTGGAGTAATGATGCTGAAAACTCAGTTTAGCATCACAGATATAAATTATATTTTAAAGTATATCCAAATAGAAAACCATTATTTTAAATTGTAAAAAATATTTCACAATATTACTGTTTTTCTGCATTTTTGGTCAAATAAACGCAGGCTTGATGAGCATAAGAGACTTCTTTTAAAAACATTAAAAATAGTAGTTTCCAAACTTTTGACTGGTACTGTATTATATAAGCATTATTATATTCCATAATGTCATCTATGTTTTTAGATATTAGTTATATGCTTGTTATTTGTATGTTATTTCTTTGTTGTTGTGTCGTTTTTTTTTTTTTTTCATTGTGTGCCTGTGCATATCATCAGATGATGTTTTATTCTATAATAATTATACCTTCCTTGACTTTGCATCACATTAGGAACATTAGATCAGGTTTACATGAGACTGAAAATGAAAGGGAAATACTGGTAAAAGAACAAAGGTACTGCCGGGCTCGGGCTCGCAAGCTTTCCCTGGAAACAAATCGCAGACGAAAGTAAGTGTGTCAAAAACAAATCAGATTGTGTAGAAAACCTTATAGTGATTATACTTGGGAGGTCGACTAATTTACATGAATGTTTTTCAGCATCCAGGTCTTAGGTTAATGCATTTGTATGCTTGAGATACTGTAACATTTTGTTTTCTTTTAATCAACTTTTTAAATTTCACTATTTAATTTAAAATGTTCTGCCAAATTAATTTTAACGTACAAATGTGTAACGTACAAAAAAAAAAAGATTTAAAGTAGTTTTAGATTGATATTTACTGAACATTTCATACTGCTTAATACCACAGAAACGTCAATAAAACTTTTAATACATTAGCTCATCCGTGAACAGGAGTCCCTTCGGATTGCTTTCCATCGGCTGTAGAGGTGAAGACGAAAACTCTCATGATTCCACGCTCATTCACAGCGTCATCAAGCTACGCCTTTGTTGTTGTTTTAAAAAAGCGATCTCTAGCGGCGAAACTTACATACTGTGCCTTTAAAACAATGAAAACGTTTTATTTACTTCCTGTTGAGGGCCTGATTAAACAGTTGAATTGGTGAAGAAAAAAATACCTGTTTTTTTTTACATTTCAGGGAAATATGTACATTCATAACCCTTTAACACAAATTAAATAGATAATAGATATTTATGGGGGGAAAAACGTGCTGCTCATTTAAATAATAACTTTATAACTATGTTAACTGCCCATTTATTTCCTAAAACATTTAATACATTGCAACATGAATATCAAACTGCACAGCACTAGCCTGTTGATCTCTGGAGACTTGTTTTTAGATGAGGTGGGAAAAACAAGAAAAAAACTAGCGTCAGCGTATTCACCAAGGAGGCAACTATGCTAAAAGACTGCAGGGTAAGAGTAGCAGAGATCAGAAGCAATGCACAGCTGCTGAATTTGGTGTTGACAGTGAGTGTCAGATATGCTAAGAACTGTCTCCATGCTGTTAATGACTCAGTCTGGCTGTTTGACCAGGTCAATCCGTGTGCACACTGAAAGTGAAGCTTCCCTACAGGCCATGGATACTGTTATTTAATCCTTTATTTTTCAGCCAGGATTTACCAGCTTGAAATAGAAGCTCTAAGAGCAAAGTTACGTTACTTTATAGAAGGCAGTGATGGTGAGGCAGATGAGTGCGTTCAGAGAAGGCTGAGACACAGATCCCGAGCTATTTTTGGTGTGATTAAATAATTCCTGAAAGATATAGAGTATATTAAAGGATTTATGAGTATGTGAGTGTCAATGACAGGACATTTATTATTGTCTGATATTTTTTGGGAACCTAGACATTTTAAAATTAAAAGAATGAAAACCACAGAGCCAAGGCAAAACCTCTGTTTAGGTTTCCTTGTGTCTCTTCCCAACACACACACACACACACAATTTATTCAGAAATGCATTAAAAATGCTGTATTAAAAATATTGTACTAAAATTAATCCGGTAGCACTTTATTTTACAGTCCTGTTCCCCATGTACATACTGTACTTATTATAGTTATTACAATAACCGGGTAATTACTAACCCTGAACCTACTCCTAAACCTAACCTTTACCATGTTACCTTATATTAACCAGTACTTTCTTTGGTAAGTACACTGTAAGTACATGTAAATGCACATACTGTAAAATAAAGTGCAACCATTAATTTTGATATTTTAAAGTAAAAAATATCAGGGTTATACTACTGTCCTCATATCATAATGAAGAAAAAACCCTAATTAAAAGTAGTTCGGCGTAATCTTTTATTATAAATTATTTTTCTTTTTTCTTTTACTTATATCATAGATAGGACTCCTGCAGACCCTCATGACTGTGTCAAGGTCAATAAGTCTCTTGAAATATTTTTTTTAAAAATGTTTTTTTAAATGAAATAATTTGACCTTTTTATGTTAGTTCAGGTTGTTTTATTATGATGATTAAATTGTTCTGCATGATTTTAGTTTCTGCAGCATAGGCATGCACTGGTTTCTGTGCCATTAACAAATTAATTTAGCTGAAATGCATCTGTTAGAGAAGGCTCGGGTTTCTGTTGACCCTGGAAAGTAAACGTCTGAGATAACGACAGCGCGCACAATGAGCTGATATTGCCGATTAGATTAAAGTCTCATTTCCATTTCAAATCAAGTGATGCATTTGATATGCTGCTCGCAGTTGCCAAAGTTCTCATCCATTCGTCTTAAAACAAATGAATAATGTCTTAAAGAGGACACTGTGTGTCCAAAGCATTGTCTAACTGTCAGACGTCACGAAAACAGCATATATTTTCTTCCAGTCTGACTGTTTGTCTCGCGGTCTCTCCAGGGCTCTTGAGGAGAGAAGGAAACAGTGGGATGTTCAGGAGAAGAGACTGAGGGAGAATGTTCTTCAGCAGCGCCATCAGAAGGTCCAGGATGCCACAGAAAACTTCCAAAGAGCTCATCTCTCTCCATCCCAAAGGAAAAGACCAGGTAGGTTCAATGAAACAGTGGACTCATCCGTTCTGAGCGACGTGATTTTAAATCAGATACATATCCGATATCTGGACATCTGACCTACGTATAAATGCGTGTATCAGATTCAGCTTGGAATACCAAGCTACCGCAAGGCGAAGAACATGTTTGCCAACAAGAAATAGCTTTATAATGTCACATTATGAAGCAGATATGTCTGCATGCGCTTGCACTAAAATTCACAGTTTTTGAGGTGGAAACTGTATATGTTGGTAACATATTGCTCACACAGAAACATTCAGGAGCATAGAACCTTTTTTTCAACCTCTGCCCTGTGAATTGTATAAATGAAACATCTTCGCTACTGAAAGCTACATTATATTTCTCAGCAATGAGGTAATAACTTAAACACTGTTTTTGTAATTAAACTCACAGCTATTACATAGAGACGCTGTACAGACGCAGGTAATTCACACTTACAATCTCTCTCTCTCTTTCTCCCGTTAATTCATTTGAAATACTGTGTAATCTTACTGTGCTACTTTATTTCACTTCTAAACAAACCGTAGATTAAATAACAAACAAAATTGACTGTTATTTCCCGGTTTATATCCGTTCAGTCAAAGTTTGCGCTGCAAACATCCATGACAGTTTTTAACTTATCCATGCTTGCAAGTAATCGTAGCACCACCAGCCTATCTAGATCATCACATTTAATGTAAACACAGATATCAGATACCTGTCGTATATGATAAATATCGGACATGTTCAAAAGATCAGATCTGTGCATGAAGCCTTGCAGTGTAAACGCAGCCTCATCCATGTGTCTACAAGCACTCTTTACTTCTTGAACTATTATTAGGTCAGTATGTGCTCACAGTCACATCTCATCCATCATTTAAATAAAGTGATTTGTGTTCTGCAGCAGCCCTTAAGAGAAGAACACCCAACCTTGATGAAGCGCTACATCATATTCAAGGCAGTCCACTCTTATTTACTCATCAATCTCAATTTTTGCCCAGTGCCTCCACTACTAGCAGGTACGACATTGCTGCCATGACAATATATCATTACTGGTTGAAGATGCATTTTGGTAATGTTATGTAACAGCTTTCATGAATTCATTCCATTAGAGTGATATTTCATATCACTAGATAGAATTTCAAGAGCTATCTTAAAAATAATTATTTCAATAATTTTTAAAATGAAAAAAAAAGATTAAAGTACACTGAGAAATAAATATATCTGGCCATATAAGAATAAACATTTCGTGACATTTCAAACTATTTAAAAGCATTTTAATAGTGTAACCAACAAGTATAACCAAAATGTATTTGACCAATTTTGAATTAATTAAAAAAACGTTTTGTATGGTTATTTAAAATATTAATAATTTTGGCTGCACTTAGAATGTTTTTTTTATCATAGAGCTCTGTACAATTATATATATTATATATATTAGTGATGCCAGCTTGCTTAATATTTTTTTTTAAAAGCTATAAATGTAAGAGCCTATTAAATGGTGTAATAATGATATAGATATAGTAAAGCTGCATTTCTTACTTGTAAGAAAGATGCTATACAAATAAGTTCATGATCTTTAGAAGCATTGAACCACTTGTTTGTTTCAGGAGCTGCACTTCCTCCCCAAAGCCTTCAGGGGGCGCCCGTCACCTGCGTGCCTTATCTGCAGCTGAGGCCTACACCAAACTCCTGCAGGACAGCAGCCTGACTCACTTCAGGAACAACCAGCTGTTCTTCCTCAATCAGCAGCAGGAGACACACACTGTTCCCACAGTAAAAGAGCAGGCTGATCCTCAGGTTAATATACATACAGTCACAGTGGCTGTTCCATCTTTACATTGGCAAGATTGTAATTGTGAACAACTACTTTGCCCGTGATTGTGTATGTTAAAAGCGTATTTGAGTATTTGCTTAAGGAGTATTGTGAAGGTTTTAAGATCCGAATCCAACATTGTACTTTTAGCCCGGGGCTCTTCCTGCCACAACACGCTGCAGCATCTTCTAAACAAACTGAGGTGTTTTAAAGAGATGAGCTCATCCTGAGGCTTTAATCACACAAACGCATATATTGAAACTACAGATACACATTCCCCTATCTCTATAACTCAAACAAACATTCTTTCCCTCTCAGACAGTCAGTTATGTCTTCTTACACACACCAGCTGGAATGTTACCTGCACTGGCTTGCAGCCAACACATCATTTAATACACTGAACTGTGAACAGAGCAGGACACAGAAGTTAATAACCCTATTTATAGGATAGGTTTTAGGCTTAGGTATTCTTGGAAAAGTGTTCCATTCTGTGCACAAATGTAGTCAGAGTTATGAAATGCCCTTCATAGGAATGTCTGAATATCATAAGCTATTATATTTTTTCATTTTTAGAAGATTTTAATGTTTGTATCCCAAAAGATCTTTAAAACTGTAATCCTCTTGCATAAATGTAGATCATCCTTTCCCATATGGAAATGTTACAAAAGTAATATATTATTAAAAGTAATATATCAACACCAGTGGCATCTACAGCCATACGTGCGTACCATGAGAGCGAGGGCGCTAATTAATAGTGTTTTATTTTTACATAGGTTTTTTTATTGATTATTAGTCTGTCTTTATACAGTCATGGCATATTGGGAAAGCAAGAGAGAATGAGAATAAATAAAGGTGTGCGTTTGTGTGTTTTAAAGACAAATGTGTGAAAATTAATCTGATTGGCTAATTTAGTTTTGTTTAATTGACGCTTTTTCCACACACGAAAAATGATACTATAGATAGTTCATCTTTAAGACCAGACTCAAAATGAGTAAACGCTCTCTAAAACAGCTGAACTTGATTGAAACATTGCAAAAAGGCCTAGAACTATTGGGTAGGGATTGAGAAATGAAGCCTCTTAAATCTCTGAAGCTTTTCTCTGATTGTTTCAGGAAAAGATTTAAAGCATCAAGAGTGTTGAAAACCGTGCCATTATGTGGCAAGTCAAATCTATTTTTTTATTCTGTTCTGTGCGTACCCCGAGATCAAATCCTGCAGGCGCCCCTAATTTAAACTACCTTTAAATTATACTTTTATTCAGCAATGATGCAATACATTTTTCAAAAGTGACATTGAAGACATTTTCAATGCTACAAATTTTTTTTTTTTTTTTTTTATCCTTTTATTCATCAAAGAATCCTGAAAAACAGAAACAGTTTCCTCAAAAATATTAAGCAGCTCAACAGTTTTCAACATTGATTATAATAAGAAATGTTTCTTCAGCATATTGGAATGATTTGTATTATTTATTTTCCATCCCTCTGCAGCATGCATGCAACATGATCTCCAAAAAGCACTTTCCCAGTATCAGTGCATAAGTGCTCTAATGTTTTTATATTGATTTTCAGGAGTATCTTGATACCCCACATAGTGAGACAGAGAGTCTGTCTAGTCTGGACAGCTTAGAGAATGGAGAACCTCAGAAGAGCCTTGACACTGCACCAGTTTGTTGCTCCCAGCAGAGCATCACCTGTGCCCAGTCTTTCTACCTCCCTGTGGATCCTTACAAGCTCCAAGCCCCCAAAAGTCCTCAATCACCGTTGAGACAGTCCAACAACCCATGTTCACCATCTCACCCCTCCTCTTCTATAGCCAAGAGTTTCCTGGAGGAGATCTTAAACCAGGGAAGCAAACTCAATCCCAGCTCACTCTCACCAAAGGATCATGAGTCAGCAGAGGAAATCAGGAGTCTCCGGAATCACACGCAAGAAAGATTTGATCATTACAAGGACCAATCGCAGAACTTCAACGCCCAGTCTACTCTTGGTTGCCAAGAAGAGTTGTTGCAGCAGAACTTAGCACATGTGATAACTCATGATAATGACAGAAACCCTCAAGGGAACATTTTGAAAGACAAAGTATCTGTGGTTGCCCACTGCAGAACGCAAGCCGTGCCAGAAAACACACCTCTGCAATTCTCAAGTCTGACTAAAGACTTCAAGTCAGAATCCAAACAGCAGACAAGAACCCCGGAGGAGAAATATGATAAACATTTATCAGAAACACAGACGGCTCTTCCAGACAGCAGATACAAACACAGCAACAGTTCGTTCAAAGCCTTTTCAAGCTCAGCTGGCCATCTTTGCATAAATTACCGGACTGACCCGAGTTCCCTGAACATGCAACCAATAGAAGCACTGAGTTCCTCACAGTCGCATAAACACAATCCAGATGTAGATGATGCCACAGCGCTCAAGAGAGAATCCAAACCGCTGAGCATGGAGGAGAGTATACGCATACATCCATCAGATCCTAAAAATGAAACGGATGTCACCAAATTGGCTAAGGCTAATATGTTGAAAAGCACAGAGGAACCAAACAGAACATCTGCAAATCCCGTGACCCACTCTGCCCTTAACAACAATGTCAGATTCCTGAAAGGGATTCTTAAAAACCATTTAAAATCCAAATCGGGAAATGTCAAATTCACTTACACCCCTGGCCATGTGCTTTTCACCAAAGAAGTGGCCATATTAATCCGGGACAGCGTGGAGCTGGCCAGGACAAAACTCAATGAGCCAGAGCAGAATAGGACCATTAAGAAGAAACTGCGTTGGCTTGATGAGGTGGATGGAGTTGAAGGGGTGGACCGAGTGTTTCGAGCCAACCTGCCCCAACAAACCCAGAAACAGCTCTCTGCAGATCACTCGGACCATGAGAATTTACTCACAGGGGTATCAAAAAACATTTCCAATAAGACCTCTGCTGTCCCCACTGGGCCCCAATCCACTAGACAGGCCTGGACAGAGGTAGGGCCCCAAGAAATCCGTACACAGGAGCGTATCAGAGAGCCCACCTCTCAAAGACGAGCCTTTTGCATTGGGGGCTCACGGATTCCCCGGAGAGCAGGCTCAGCCAGAGTTGGCTCGTGTCCCGTTACCTCCCGGGCCAGGAAGGGCACTATCATCAGACCGCAATCTGCCAGGGAAGCGCAACATGTGGCCAAGACCCAGGGGAAGATTTTGGTGCCTCGGCCCCCTCCGAAACCTGAAGTTGTGGAGTGTGGCCTGGCTGAGTGTCCCGTGTACATCTCCAAGGCATCCTGCTGTGATGAAGGTGTGGGTCTGCAGGATCTGGCCTTGTGCAAAGACACTCCAGATAGCCAGACAATAGTTCATCGGCCTACCCTCAGAACAGATCCAGCTCTACCTTACTGTACCTACACCCACGAGACAAGCATCTGTTCCCTCTCCCCTCCAGACAATCCCAGGCGCAGGTGTGGAGAAAACGGGATCTGTTTGGACCGGACTCCAACAGATGAGGAGATCTCAATGCTGTGGCATGGAGTCCGGAGTGCTCTCGCCAGCAAAGACGGTAAAGAAAACCCCAAACTTAGTATTTATCACCTAACATGTTTTTTGTTTTGTTTTTTCAACCGAGTGGGTTTAAAATACCACTATACATCGGTGGATATTATGTTATCCCTACAACGCTTGACATGTCAAATAATGAAAATCGATTTTTTTCAAAATATTGAAACTTGAAAATAAAATAAAAAGACATAAAATGGAGTGCATATGTTTTTATGAAATTAGATAAATCAAGCTTTTATGGTAATTATTGATCACAACAAAATTGTGTTTTTAATTTCATTAAAAAGGAACTTTTCTTTGTGGTAGACCAAAAAATCTGTATTTCACTGCCAAGATTGGTAAAACCACATTATAAATAAATAATATAAATATATTATAAATATTAATGCACAGAAATATGAAATATATAAATGTACAATATATAAATATATTATAAAATTATATATATATTAAATCATATATATATATATATGAAGACCTCCGATGCAAAAGCCTCTAAAAGCCACCTCTGTCAAAAATTAGCTGATAATATTGAGTGAATGCTCTCCGCACATAGTATACGTTATATCTAATACCTTCACTTCAAACTCACTAAATCCCAGCCTCAGCCCATTCAGAAATGTCGGTACTTGGGTAGAAACCTATACATAGGAGCCTGATAAAAATGTTAATATTAAACAAAAATTTTAGACAGACTTAGAGGCTTTTGCATCTGGATCTTCATATATATACAGTATATATACAGTATTAAGATTATATATATTAGAAATGATCATTTAAATGTATAAATGGAAGGCATTGGTTTTGGTTTTGGTGAAGATTTTTCATTTTAATAATCAAGCAAATTACACTACAGTATATATGATAAATTTGGGGCAAAATTTTTGAAATGCATTGCAATGATAATTTAAATTTATATTCCTCATGTATCATATTGGATACATTTTCAACAGTTTTTCTATAAATTAATGTATGAAAGTATGCATAGATAGATTGTATACAAAAGGTTTGTGTTCATCATGTTAATGGTGTCGAAACATTAGTAGCCATAAATAATAAAATATTAAATATGTTGTGATTGGTTGTAATGTGTCACATTGCTATGCATTTTTTCTGATAAATGACTTGTCTTGTCATGCTTGGTTAGAACATGATGTTGCAAGTTCCAGCCTAACTATTTATTCCTTCCTTATTTCTGTATTTTCCCATTCTGCATTTCATCTTTCCTTTTAAATTTTGGGAATGATTATTTACCTGCTGTGGAAAAAAAAGACACATTTTCAGTAGGTGTCTTTCAAATGACAAGAAACATTCCGGCAACATATTACAAAATCATCAGCTTCCCATGAACTTTCACTGCACCTTGTCATATATATAGTCAAACGAGAGTCAATCGGAAGAACTGAGCTCCCTTTGTGTCTGCGAGTCCAACAGCTTTGTTTGAGATTCTTGAGGGATGTTTTTCTAGAGTCATTGGAAAAGGCTCTTTTTTTGCTGTTGGTCAGTTTTCTTTGGCTCTCTGCACAGCAATGCACCACTTGGGATTACTACTCTGTTGAAATGGATCCATTTAATGATGGACTGTTGTTCCTCAGGGCTCAATTATTTTTATAACATCAGGAAACCTCTACACTTTGAGGACAGAGACCTCAAGATCAGGAGAAGTGACTTCCATACTTTGGGACCTTTCAGTTGAACCGTCTTACAGTTCTTTCTTTTATCTCTCTCTCTCTCTCTCTCTCTCTCTCTCTCTCTCTCTCTCTCTCTCTCTCTCTCTCTCTCTCTCTCTCTCTCTCTCTCTCTCTCTCTCTCTCTCTCTCTCTCTCTCTCTCTCTCTCTCTCTCTCTCTCTCTCTCTCTCTCTCTCTGAATTGACTTAGGTGACCCTCAAAGTTTTCTTGCTCACAATGGCCCGTTGTCTTCTTTGCCTCAAGTCAGTGCCAGCCTGTCCCATGTTACCATCAATGGTGATAGTCTGATCGGTGGTGTCAAAGGAGCCTCAAGAATGGGTGGCTTTTTCTTGTCTTCCGGTAAAGAGGCTATAGGTTTGTCAAACAACCTCTAATAATACATGTTATACATACAATTGACTTATAATAGGCTACATACAAAACCCAGGGCATTTGCCCCTGCCAGTCAAATATAAGTGATCAAATGAATAAAGACATGTTTCACTAGAGATGTTTAGACATTAAAGCCACAGATATGTGAGGCCATACATCAAGACATTATTTTTCAGAGATGTATTGGTACCTTTGGTCACTGGTCACTGAAATATGCTGCTTGGATATGAATGTGCTTTTTAATCTGAGTTTCCCCTGTAAATCAGTGAAAAGTCCAGTAAGGAGACAGGCTATGGAGAGTAGCGTGGTGAAGAACAACAGAAGTCAAACTGCAGGAACCACACAGAGAAAGCCCAGCTTTCCTCATCAGGTAACAATGCACTTACTACTGTACTTGAAAGCAAGAGCATTATAAATATATAAATAAATACAAATAAACGTAATTTAAATAACGCAGCCTCCTTGGAAGTTTTACACTAATCTAGTTTATAGTGTAAGCGCAAATGTAATGTTGACCATATACTTGCATACATTTTTGTTTATATTAACCATGTTGCTGTTGGCTTTTTGACATTTTTTGAATTAAGTGTTTTGTTTTTTCAATAACTGTTTATTTGTGGTTTAACAGGTCACGGTGCCAAAAACTCAACACCCAAATAAAACAGGTCATACAGCAGACAGTGAAGGTAATGTATAATGTAAAGTGTTATCTGATATCATATGGATATATAGAGATTGCCTTCTCTAGAGGCAAGAACAAAAACCTAACATGTAAATCAGTTCAATCTCATGTACAAACATCATTAAAAATGCAGCATGTTTTTTAAATATTCTCAACAAAAATGAAAATAGTGTCATTATTTATTTACCCTCATGTCAAAGCTTTATCCATGGGACACAGAAGTCGTTTTAGCGCACAGACACTTTAATGATGTCTTAATTCATTTATTTTTGGAGCATCACAGCCCCTGGAATATGAACATGAGGGCAAACCTTTGATTGTGAAATGTTATTACAATTTAAATTAACTGTTTTCTGTTGTAATAGCTATATTTTAAAATATAATTGATAAAGCTGAATTTTCCGCATCATTACTCCAGTCTTCAGTGTCACATGATCCTTCAGAAATCATTCTAATATGCTGATTTGCTGCTCAAGAAACATTTCTTATTATTCTCAATGTTGAAAACGTTTTTTGCTGCTTAATATTTTTGTGGAAACCGGGATGCTTTTTTTGGGGGATACTTTGATGAAATGAAAGTTCAAAAAGAACAGCATTTATTTGAAGGAGAAATATTTTGTAACATTATAAATGGCTTCACTGTCACTTTTGATCAATTAAATTAAACTTACCGAATTAAAGAATTAATTTCTTTCTTATTTATGACACCAAATTTTATTACTAATCTTTATTACAAATAAAGCCCAAAGTATTACTCCATTTGATAGTGCGCGAACACAGGCGGTCGACACACGTGCCAAGTTTCATCTTTCTCCAGTGTTTTCGCTATTTTTCTTCAGAAGTTATGACCGATAATAATGTCTTTGTATTCTTTTAAACTAAAGTTGCGGCTATCTCATAACCCCCTTTACACAAGCGCTTGTCAATGTGGGCATCTGTTTTAGTTGCAGTCTCCAGTATTTTGTTGTTTTTCCATCTCTTTAGTTTCTTTTTCTACTGTGAAACAACGGCTGGTGCCATTGTTGCCATTTTGTGGAACAATTGATTAGTGCAAAACAAATTTAATGTGTATGTGCGGCTACAAAAAACGGTTGGCGTGCGTACTGCGTACTATTCTGGTGACGAAATTTGCATCATGCAAAACGTGAAACATGTACACGGACCCTCACGTACGCGTATAAACCGAAGTATACTTTGACTGAACTGATGAGTTCAAGCATTAACTCTCTTTTCCCCCCTGTTACAGGCCCAGAGGTGTCAGACGGTGCTCATGAAGTTGTGGACTGTGCGCAGACCCATAAGTCCTGCAACGGTCCAGTTGGTCCCCAGAGCCAGAGAATGCAGTCCCTCAGCATCAGCGCTCTGTCACTAGAGGAGCAGAGGATCCTGCAGTCACTCGAGAGACTTAATCAACGGCTGCAATGTCAGTTTCATTTCAAATTCTGTACATTTAATCCGCACAGTCAAAGCTTAAACGGTTATCAGATTTGAGGTGAACTCAAAAGCTTTTAATTCGACCCTATGAATGTTTCTTGTTTTAGACAGCTGTGTTTGTTGGCTTGTGCATTAGCTCATACTTCCTGATTACTTGATTTAACAGATGTGCAGGATACAGCTGGTGGCGGCCCAGCAGTGAGGGGCATCTTTGCTGTGGGTCCTGCACTTGTGAGTACTGACCCTGTGTTGAGATGAAGCGATCTGTTCCCCTGATCTAACGTGACACGCTCACTGCTCTGTCCCCTCTTTCTTTCTCCTCATCCCTGCAGAACCAGACGGGTGAGACTGTGGGTGTCACCATGCGTAGGCGAGGAGCCTCTGCTGACAATCGCACCCGAACGCAACAGCGTTACTGACTACACCTCCCATGATCCACCCCTCCCTTAACCAACTGCACTTTGAAACCCTTTAAACCTCACCAACGTGTGCTTCATATTGCTGAGACATACTCAAATGCTGTATTTGAGTGGTATTTAATTGTTTTCTAATTAGTTGTAATATCTCTTCTGGCAATACACAGTGCTGTTGTGTAATAAAATTGTATTTATAAGAAAAGTTATTCATAATGCCTTCTGATTGGTTGATATTTATTTGTATAAATATATTTTCACAGGCATTGTATGTTATTAATGTACTGTACTGTACTTTTTATTCTAAACAATCTTGACTCTTGGAGGAAAATAAATGAATTTGAGAAAAAACATTAGCTTTTGTTCTAATTGTGCCAAAACAGGATAAAGGGCTTTTTGTGCAACTTGACCTCAGTCGAGTGTCAGTTAAGCATAAATGGATACAGATTTACGTTGTATGTGTGGCATAATCATGACAGGTTTTTCTGGGTGTGTATTTTACATTTGAGCATGTGTGTGTGTGTGTCTATGACCTATGTTTTGTGTTTGTGTAATCAGTGTAGGCATGGGAAATCTTATCTAGGCGTGTGACAGTGACATTTGAGTGACTATTAATTACTCCAGTGTATTGGAGACTCGACGCACAGGCTTTGCAGGATAACGAAGACAAACCAAGCTGTACTCTGTCCTGATGCTCTTGTACCATCACCACCCTATAACTGTCACGTCATGTAACCCCTCTGTACAACGCTGTAGGGCCGGTTCACACAGAACGTGTTAAAAAACGCAAAGTCTAGAGACGCGTTTTTAAAATGTTTTAACTTGATTTGAATGTTTTTATATGTTACGCCGCGTCATGAGCGAGACGTGATGGTTAAAGATGTCAGTCTAGCGTGTGTTTATGTTAAAAAACAATGGAAAAGTAGCGCAGTGGAATGGATAACATTCTGTGTGAACAGTCCCAATTCTTCTTACAAAACGTACTAATCTACGCAATCAATTACTATTTCCAGGAAGGTTTTTAAAAATAAAAATAGTCTGGGGTTTTTTTTTGGTTACAAAGTCCTAATAACAATTTGAAAAAATTAACACGTTTTGGAATGTATTTGGTACATTATCTTTCTAGTGACACTATGGTTATATTATATCACTTATTGAACAAATGCGTTCACATACTTTGTGTCATAAATTTGCATGTTTAATTATTTACTAGTGCCAAATTTTTTCATATTTCATATTCTCTTGACATTTTTTATCATAGCATTTCTCATGTTTAATCCTATCTTTAAATTGGATTTTCAATTTTAAACTTTAATTCAGTTGGTTTCAGATGTTACCCTACAGTATATACACTACTATCCAAAAGTTTGGGGTCGGTAATATTTTTTAAATGTTTTTGAAAGAAGTCTCCTATGCTTACCATAGCTGCATTTTTTTTTTTTTTTTTTTTTTGGAAACTATTAAGCATTCTTTGGTGAAAATAAGTTTTTAAAAAGCCTTTATTTTATATAAAAATCTATTGTAACACTAAATGTCTTTACTGTCTGATACATTTAATGCTGACATTCTTTATTATTGAAAATAATAAAATATATATAATGGCTGCATCCAAAAACTTAAAAATGCTGCCTTAAGAAGATGCATTCCAAGGATAGGAAGGGATCAAGGCAGGTACAATGTTGGCTTCACTTCCTGACTCCTGAGATATCTTCATCTCATCGATTTCTGAAGGCAGCATTGATGTATCCTTCGCTGCCTTTGATATCCCACAATCCTGTGCTTTCCATTCTGTGACAGTTGAGCTGAAAAATAAATATGGCATCTGAAAGCATGTGGTTGGTCGTCAGTTTGTGTGTAAATGTGTAAAAGGTTTTTGCCCAACGTTTTCCACTTCTGATGTCATTTCTAGAGAGAAATTATTATTGTATAGTTATTAAATATTCACTTAGTTTTCACCAAAGCTCGCTCTATTTTGCTGTAGATCATTGGTGCACACATATTACTTACTCGACTACCATAAGTAAATCCACTTCACCAGCTGATAACTCTTCGACATCGATGCCATAGAAATATACAGTTAGCACTAAAACTTAGGTTCAAACACTAAATGCTGGTCTAACCTGAAAATAAGGTTTTTTTAACTATTTGAGAAGAAACAACATTTAGTTCAGTTCACGTCAGATTTTATTTCCGGTTTCGAAATATGTTGATTAATTGTGAGTTTGGCAAGCAGTGAGCACCGAGTGAGCAGACTTTCCTTGAAAGGGACATTGACTAAACTGAACAACCTGTCAAAGTTATTGCAACATATTTTATTGAGACTTTATAAGATGTTATTGATGAGGAAAAAAAGTGACTCTACAAAATGTTAAAACTAACACATGGAGGAAAGTTTTGCAAATAGAATTGTACTTACAAAAGAGTGATTTTTAAAATTATTTTTTAATTTAATAGAAGGACGTGATTCAGAAACGTTTGCAAGTCACTTTGTTAAAGGTACAATATGTAAGATTAATAAAATATCCAAAAATCACTTGCACAGTGTGATATATTCCCTGATTTCCATTACACGAGAGTAGATGTTAAAACTTCATGCTGTTTTGTACTCGGCTTTCGCCAAGATAAGAACTAAGACGTAGCTTTACAGTAAACTATGCTTCTCCATCCATTTACGCTTCTTTCCATACGGTGGCGTGACTCCCCTTCTGTCCGGCGTTAACGGCTGCAGTGTACTTGGCGCGTCAGCACACGCGACGGCTGCAACTACAGGACCAGCACGACAGCCGTCTGGATTGAGCCGAGTAGGGGACATCTCTAGGGTCTTCAAGTGGGCACCTTCCGTCCTCAGTGTTTCGTCGACTAGCCCACGACACCTCAAGAGGGCTCGACAGTGACTCTGGCGTCCCAGAGTCACCCCCCTCCGTCCCCCACTCATCTCAGCCCAGCTTACTGACCTCTACATCCCTCCTGCTGCTGAGACCTAACCACAATCTCACAATCTCTCCGCAACCCGACCATACGCGCCAACCCGTTTGACTAAGGCTGTCGAGCCCCACTGGTGCGTTAATAGGCAGTTTCAGTGGCAACGGTTCCGTATGGCTTACCACCTACCGCAAAATACAATATCTGCCCAATCACCCGTCATTCGCGCAATATCCACAGGAACGTATACAAATAAACCAACAGCCTCTTCAAGTTTTCTTCGAAACCGTAGCGTGGCGGCCTGTACTCAGCCAGCTAGAATCTTTCCGTCTCAACCACAGCCAGTTGCTGCTCCTTTCTGCTGCCTCAGATAAGTTCTTTACTGTGCGACGCAACTCTTGGCCGCTGAATCCGATGTCTCTGAGGAACCGGGTTGTAGAGTGTGCCACGAGACCTCGACAACCCACTTCCACTGGATAAACCTGGACTCTCCATCCTCGCTGTTCTGCTTCAGTGGCCAGATGAGCATACCGCAGTTTCTTCCTCTCATATGCCTCATCTACCACATCCTCCCATGGCACTGTTAACTCTATCAGTTGAACAATGCGTGCTGATCCAGACCACAAAGTTGTTGTGCAGTTGTGTACTTACAATATGCCAAAAGTTCCCAAAGATTTTTAATTTCAGAGAAATTCCCATTTTAAATAATGGCTCGTCCCTGTTTACTTGTCGCCTGTCACTGACGTCATATCCGCGTTATCCCTGGTTTCTGCTCGTACTGCCATAGTAACCATGGCGACAGACGTGGACAACTGCGTTACGTCTAGCGGCACGCTCACGCTGTTGTTGTTTCGTTCAGACATTATGGACCATGGCCAGCAGACTTTGGGAAAAAAGGAGAACTAAAACGAGGATCAGAATCAGCGTGGCGTTTTTGAGATGCCGAGAGCTCCACGTCCGCGACTAACTTCGACTCGACAGAGACGCCGCTCTTGCATGTACTTTATTAGACAGGTGAGCAAATGTACATAAAACAATTCAATGTTATATACCGTACCTACTCAAGAGAGTATGCGATTTCGGACCCCACCTCTTATTTAATTTATTTCATTATTGCAGTTAATATTCTGAGTTTGCATTTCACCGTTTTTATTCATTTTGAGGAATACTAAATTGTTTTTGTGATTGTGAGATAAGTATGCTCACATTTATCTACAATATGTTCACACACAACTCCTGATTTCTCTCAACATAAAGACAGGAGAGCTGTCAGTCAATACATGGGAAAACAAAATAACTTGTATGAAAAAGTAACTTAGATATTTTGTTGTAAATAAAAGTAGTGTGTGTCTTTACTAGTTAGTTGGAAAGTAATCTGATTACGTTACTGGTAAGTTACCCCCAACACTGTTAGTAACAAATGTGACTTTTTTTTTGGAAGAACCACCATTTCCGGTTTCTTTCGACAGGTTGATGTGTTACGCTAACCACTGTCAATTTTCCAATTTAATTATTAACTTGGATACCAGGGTTACTATATGCTCACTCAGCCACTCATGCAAAAGAGAAAGAAAAACACCCATAACTTCATGCTGCACGGTTAAAGATTGGTCTGCGTTCAGTGCCGTTCATCCTGTCAGGTCTCTCTGGGAAGGGCGCAGTCTCTTCTCCGGTCAGCTTGCCTTGGCTTGTTGCAGCGGGTGGAGGAGGTCCCAGCACCTTTGAAGAATTTGGCAGAGATTGCCTTCCCTCTTTGAAATGTGACAAATTGAAATGTATTGCAAGAACACACTTGCTGAACAGGTTTTCAACGCCATTGTGCGTCTGTACTGTAGTGTATAAAGGTAGTTTCTCACCTATGTCTCTTGACAGGGGAGGTTTCCTTTTCTGATGGATTTTATGTGTTTATGTTTCCATTTTCAGGGGTTGATGGAGGGGAAAAGTATTTGGCGAGGCTTTTGCGTTCTCTCGCGAATGTTTTCTGTTCCCTTGAGAAACTTTGAGTTTGCTCCCAAGACCTTTGCGTTCCCTTGCAAAAATGTTTGCGTTCGTTAGCAATATGTTTGTGTTCTTTGCGAAGGAAGGCAAAGTTTCTCGGGGGAACGCAAACATTTTGCGAG